ACTCAATTTACGACATAATAATGCTGACTGTGACAGACTAAGGTATTTCTTCTATAGGATGTAAGACAATGCTAAATTTCAGGATGTCTTGCCCATTCCGATTTTAAGGATATTCTTTTCCAGACGTATGCAAAAGCTTATCTTTCCATTGTCAGAATAACGTAATATAAGGAAGTAATAAATCTTATAGTCTGTACTGTAATGAATGGCATATACCATGGCTAATGTAAGCAAACTATGTATAAAAGCCAGCTCTGGAATACACTCATTTGAGAGTCTTGTAAAGCTGTTGTCCGTGTGTTATTGCTTACAAATGATTCTCCATCAACGTTGATTATGGTGACCGAGGGATCGAGAACCGAGGGGATTAGAGTCCATTACAACATTAACCCTTTCAGCTTGGTGTCTAGAAGTGGGATAGAAGTTGGATCAGCAAAACCATTTGCGGTGAGTAGCCTTTTTGTGTCTTATTTGACGCTGATTGTCTATGACCCCCTTTGGTTCAGTAAGACTGTATCCAGTAGATAGGAAAGGTGTAAGGACTCTAGTTATATTGAGACTATAAGAGGTCTCCGGTTTATTAGACATTTGGTCTAAATATATATAGGGGTTCTTGGTAACCCAGGTTAGTATCTAAGATAGATACAGGTTTTTGAGACCATAAGAGGTCTCCGGTTTATTATAGGGTTTTGGTAACCCAGGTTAGTATCTAAGATAGATACAGGGTATCTCAGGTAGATACAGGTTTTTGAGACCATAAGAGGTCTCCGGTTTATTAAGTCTATAGGTGTTCTGAGCAGCATGGTTTGTAGATCTTTAAGTATAACCCAAACTTCTCTTTCTCCCGGTCACCTTTGTTTGTCTTAAGTGTTTTTTGTGGGTGATTGATTGTCTATATTGGGGACACACTTTGGTAAGTTAGTAGTGTCCCCACTCTGAATCAGCAGTATGGGAAATGTGAGTTCAGGTCCTGAGTGACCAATATGTGTATGTATATATGTGTATATGTATGTATATATGTGTGTGTATATGTATATGTGTATATATAAGATAGCAGTACTTTTAAACAAATGGAGGTTTTAAAAATACATAGGGATTAAGGAGAGAACGCAGGTGACTTGTTTTTCTTTGGTTTTTGCCATATATTGGGGCTGATGTGTACTGTAGTCCTTGCTGCTGTCCAGTGGTGATGGGAGTGAGCGCAGGACTTATCTTTCTGCAAGATAGCAGTACTGTATATTAGAAAAGAAATGACTCATAGGTTGTACCTGATAGACCTACTTAAATCTTTTTACTTTATTCTTTCTGTTGCATAGAAGTATAAGTTTATTACTCTGTTTTATTGTAAGTTATTTCACATGGGATCTATTATGTGCCTGGTATGATTGTTGCTTTAAAAATACTATAAGCCCACTACATTTATTATGAGAGTGGGATAGTGTAAATGTGTTGCATTGTTTGCATGATGAGCTCAGTATATTTTATAACTGAGACAAAAAGTCATTTCATTAGTATTTGAAAGTTAATTCCCCATATGGGATTAATTGTATAGAAACACCAATCAGCACATCTTCCCTGCCCTGTGTGTTTGTTGCAAAGGATCCATACTGTAAATATAATTTTTGTTTGAAAATAACAGAGCAACATTTACATTTTCAGCGGTCCAACACATGCTTTATTTTGCGCTGTAAACTAACCTTTTTATTGCAACAGGTTCCTTTTAAATGATCCAGTGTAATAACTAGTGCTTGTGTCTTCTATGTCTCACATTATGTGTTATTTTTAAATTGTGGTATATAGCCTGAATCAGACATCATGGACAAAGGGTTTTTACCTGTATTACAAAGGGCTCTTGGAGACTGACCGGTCTAAAGGTTTGCCATGCCTTTAAAACATGGTATAGTATAATTTTTTTAAGTCTCTGAGAGTTCTGAAAGATTCAGGTGAAACCATGTCTGTTTAATCTGGTCCAGATGTTTGTTCAATTTCTGTAAAATTTAAGTTGATGCAGCATCATCTCAGATTAGTTAATGGTAGTTTTATACAAATAGTTGAGTTATGAGCGCGCTATATAAATGGATCCTTTCTTTAAATACAATACTATAGTAGATTAAAGTAATGAAGTTAATTAAGAAAATGTACACATAAGAATCCCTAAAATAAATCTAAACTAAAATTGGTATACCTTCCAATAATATGTTCTGAATACAGCTGTTAACTGTTTATTTTGTGTAAATGGTGATTGTGATAATGTGTGAAGTGTGCAGTTTAACTTGAAAGTGGTTTAATGTATATGTTGCTGTATTGTTTTAAATTATATGTGAATCAGTTTGTCACAGTCTAGTGATACTGATAAGAATGACAGCCAAATAACCTAGCAAATAACTGTTTTATTAGTTGTTGAATACTAGCGTTTTGGCCAAGAATAGTTGGAGATTTGGAGGTGTTAGTTTAAGATTGCTTTTATATTGTGTGTATCCGTGTTTCCTAGGAGGGAGACAGAGTGTGTAGTTGTGTGCCCATAAATGTGATTTCTGTATTGGCATATCTGCTGGGTACCCATTATGTGTTTCTACAAAGATATTGTTTTGTGAGATGACGTGTAATATTACATGGGATGCTGAGTATGAGTTATATGGTTTGAAATGAATTGGTGATTATGAGCTTAGTACTTCAGTAAGATGTGCTAAAATTTGGAACAAGGTGGAAGCTGAAATGTTGGGATTATGGAAGAATAAGCAGTCTATATTCACTGCTTTGGCATATAAGCAAGATGCAAAGGAAGAGATTGGTAATATGATTTTTGTAAAGAAATTTTACAAGTGTTGGAAGGATGAGGCAGGTTTGATGTCTGGAGATGATATAGATCTCTTTAAAATACAGTCATGCCTTGGTAATATGTTGCCACAGTATTATTTGCTTGTCAAACAATTGATTTCAGACTGGGCCAATTTGGATAGCTCAGATTTTCTTACCAAGGTTATAGAAAAGGAAAATGCAGGTTGTTTTGAATTAAGAAAAGATTTAGGAAAGTAAGGTTGCTTATTATGCTCAGGGATTGTAACATTGGCCACCTACACAGGCTGAGAGCGAGGATGGGATGGAGCACATAAAGCCCGTGGAAGGGGTGGTCAAAGAGGGGCAAGGGGATGGAGACAGGGAAATCAGGGTTATAGGGGCAGGGGTAACCAAGGAGGAATAGACAGGAACACTTGTTTCAACTGTGGCCAATATGGCCACTGGAGGAATGAGTGTCCACACCCCAGGAAACCCCAGGAAACCACACACACCCCAACAACCCCACAATTCTCAAAATATGCCCGGTAGGCAAGAACAACACCAGACCCACTCCCAACACCACTGGCCAGCATATCGCTTAGTTCAGGACTTTAGAGCCCTGAATAGTTTAATTGTGCCCATTTCACCCATTGTCCCTGATGTGACATCCCTCATTACAGCCATTCCACATGATGCCACTTGCTTCACTGTCATTGATTTAAGTAATGCATTTTTTCTATACCTATTGATCAAGAGACACAGCTACTTATGGTTTTTACTTTTTGAAGGCTGTCAGTTTACCTGGACACGCTTACCCAAGGCTATGTGGATTCCCCAGCTGTTTATTCGTTGGTACTCCAACATACTCTAAAAAACATGGACCACCGGTCATGGTTCCGTCCTTTTTGCAAAATGTTGATGATTTGTTGTTATGTAGCCCTAGCTATGAGGCAAGCACTGTGGATACTGTCAGCAACTGTAGGTCACAAGGTTGTTAAACACAAAATGCAATTGTGTAAATCAAAGGTTGAATACTTAGGTTTTGTTCTGGCTTCAGGCACCAGACAATTGAGTCCAAAACGTATTGAGGTCATTCAGAGGATTCCTACACCCACTACTCGGAAGGAGTTGCTCACCTTCCTCGGCATGATTAATTACTGCCACCATGGATCCCTGAATGCTCCCATTATGACTCAATCCTAAGGGAGGCTGTACGTTCTGACAGCCCTGAAAATGTCTGCTGGTCACCAGACATGCTAGCTGCATATATTGCCCTTACAGTTGTTATTGTGCAAGCCCAGGCTTTAGGACTACCTGTGTATTGTAAACCATTTCATTTGTATGCTTGGGACAATTGTAAAACCATGGCCGCGGTCTGTGCACAAGAGCAAGGAGGCGGTATGCGTCCCATAGCATTCTTTTCCAAAGTAGTTCGAGCTCCGGTACAGGGTATGCCGGCGTGTCTCAGAGCATTGATAGCATGTGCAATGGCTGTTGAAACTGCTACTACTATCACACTAGGGCATCCTACAATACTTCATGCCAGTCACCAGGTCACTCAGCTGATGACAAATCTCACCACACAACACATGACAGCCCAGCGCTTCAGTGGTTATGAGATTCTTTTTTTAATACCCAGAATCTGTCTTTTGGATTAAACAAGGTTTAGAGAAAGATCAAAATGATCTGTTCTCTAAAGAGGGGAGAATAGGCATACTTGAAGAATAGGCATACTTGAAGCAAGCTGATTTATTTTCATCAGTCAGGCACATAGCAAGCACCATTCAATTCTTCATGAATTCATTTTATATTAGGAATCTCAGGCAGCATGTACAGTCTTTTGTAAGATCGTGTGAACACTGCTCTTTTTACACACTTACAGATTGATTTTATTCATGTATCCAAAATTGGTAAGAAACAGCAATACTTACTGGTCATAGTTAATCAGTTTAGTAGATGGCATGAGGCCTTTGTGACATCTAGGGAAGATGCTAGTGAAGTTTATTGTTACTGAAATTATTCCCAGGTATGGCTGCCCTCTGCAGATTGGCTCTGATAATGGCCCGGTTTTTGCCAGTAAGGGTTGCCCAGGAACTTGCTAAATTCTTGCAAGTTACCTGGCAGTTTCATATACCCTATCATCCACAGAATACAGGGGTAGTTGAAAGGATGAATAGGACTATTAAGGAAAAGCCCAGAATTTACCCAGGAACATGGGTAAATTGGACTAGATATCTACCAGCTATTTTAGCTGAGATAAGAATGAATCCCCACAAGGTGACTAAATTATCTCCATTTGAGATTTTGATGGGATGACCTTTTCCCACACCCTGGGCCAGGGAACTGCTTGTTATAATGTCTGGGGATTTACAGCTAATACAAGAACAATATGTACAGGAATTGTTGATAAAACCGAATGGTATGTATGACAATGTTTCTTCGCAGTTTTCCCTTACCTTCACAGGAACCTACTCATTCATACCAGCCCGGTGACAAGGTGTATATCCGTCAGTTGAACAGGACCAAGAAAGGAGGATACCCTTTTGGACCACCTGCTACTGTGATTGCTGTACCCAGAACCGCTGTCCTCACAGATTCCCACGACATCTGGATTCACGCATCCCGAGTGAAGCTGTGTCCAAAGAGGGGAACCAAGGAAGACAACACCACTCCTCGCTCGGAAACAGAAGAATTTCTCCTCAGCGAAGCATCATGGCTTTTACACCATATCGTAGATTGAGAGGATCATACGTACCTGAGACCAAGATTATGTTGTGTGCTATGCTTTCTGGAGTTGTTATACTCCCTCTGATATTGTTCCTTGAATGCCATTATGAGTACAAGTCAATGGCAAGTTCTGGAAAAAGACTCTGACATGATGAACAATTCTTCAATACCCCCAGCCCAATTAGGCCTTAGCCCCTCATCTAGCATTCGTCACACACGCCCCCTCAAGAACCTTTCTCCACCACCTTTCTATCAGCATGCAATATGCAATCATTCATTCACTGAACGCATTTGGATGAATTGGACAAATAGTAACCCTTATAAGTACCAGTTACCCATATGAAATGTGTCTACAGCTAATGAAACCGATGCATTATGTTTGTTTAAAGGTTCACAGAAAATTGTTAGATCTTATAACGCAGAAATGTGCACAGTTAAGGTTGCATATCAATGTAAACAGACAGGCCTTATTACTTTTAATAATGATTATATAACTGGTATCATTAATTGGAAAAGGGGACAAATGTTAGTCATTATGAACGACACTGCAATTGAGAACTATACACTACCTTATATTTTTACACCTTATTACTGTCCTTCATCCACTATCATAGAACCAAAAGTCAAACACGACACACACACACCTATTCCGTCCACATGTGTTAATACAACTGCCTTCTTACAAGCTGTACATGTGTCATTAAAAGTCACTACTCTTGTTGTAACATTATGTAATACAACAAACAAAGGCAGAAAAGGGAATGGTATGACACACTGTTAGATGGTGCTGGAACCACTATGGGTATACTAAATAGTTATAGATATGGAGACCCTCAAGAATAAGTTAAACACAGCCAGCATGCATATAGGGACTGGTTTTCATGCTAGTGCAAATTGGGCTCCAATTGTTGTTAAATCACAGGTTATAGGATTGGATTTAGATAAATCAATGTATAATTATTTAGATAATTTAACTGTTGCAACTATGAAATTCACAACAGGTCTAAGTAACTGGAGTACTTGTGCCATCAGGTATTTATGGATACAACAAGGATTGGCATTAGAAAACACACTAATGATTCCTAAACTAGAGAAGATTAGAGGAATGTGTAACCTCACAGATAATGAATGGTTACTTCTAAAACCCCAATCCACTAAATGCAATGAATGGTTAACTGGTAATGTTTCACATTTTTCATGCTCATGCTATTTTACATTATATCATACATCATCAAAGGATGTTAAATTAGCTTGTCAATTTAACACATTACCAGTACCAGTTTATGATCTTTTTGCCAAGAATTTAACCTGGTGGGCACCCACATACACAGGGGACTATATTTTTCCCAAAGATAACATACACAGGTAGCCACGCATATCCTAAAAGGAGAACTCCTTAAGGTGAGTTCACAAATTCAGAATGATTTAGCCCATCATTGGTACGATGCTTCACTGGTTGGTCCCCTACTGGATCTCAGATAATGAAATCATTCTTCTATCATTTTGTTATTATAGTCCTGATTTTATTGTGTATGATTTTATATAACTGTCACCTTACTTGTACATTGAGGAAGTGAGTACAGAAATGAATCCATAATGCAGAACAGAAACAATTAGAAATTCTCCTCTCTGCCACTGTAGAGTATCAACCCATCTTTAAACTGGGCCTTAGAAATTACCACATGGGAATCGAGGTGAAGAAATTAATGAAAGTCCCGCAGGGAGTGACTAGCACCCCTGAAAATACCATGTGGAAGTTTCTCTGTCCTGGTAAGATTTTATCGATAAGATGAGCAATTGTTTTATTGCTCAAAGAGGGGAATGTAAGAATATTAAATAGTTAACTTGTTTATATGTATTTTATGCTTTTATAAGGTTTATAACATGATTATTGCTGACTGAAGGAATATTGAATACTCAATATACGACATAATATGCTGACTGTGACAGACTAAGGTATTTCTTCTATAGGATGTAAGACAATGCTAAATTTCAGGATGTCTTGCCCATTCCGATTTTAAGGATATTCTTTTCCAGACGTATGCAAAAGCTTATCTTTCCATTGTCAGAATAACGTAATATAAGGAAGTAATAAATCTTATAGTCTGTACTGTAATGAATGGCATATACCATGGCTAATGTAAGCAAACTATGTATAAAAGCCAGCTCTGGAATACACTCATTTGAGAGTCTTGTAAAGCTGTTGTCCGTGTGTTATTGCTTACAAATGATTCTCCATCAACGTTGATTATGGTGACCGAGGGATCGAGAACCGAGGGGATTAGAGTCCATTACAACATTAACCCTTTCAGATGCCTTGGAGGATGTCCAGCGGCGGTGGAAAGAGAGCCTTCCCAGTGAAGATCAGCGGATACAGGTATACGTGGCCCTGCGTCTGCCTCGCATTGGAGAGTAACCCCTGGAGGAGTGGGTGACGGAACTGCGGGACCTGATTTGATTTTGATGACAGTATGCTGGAGGGTGAGGACTATAATGGCCCGGGCTTACTGTGGGAGGCCTTTGAGGAGGGCAGTGACTTTGGGTGTCCAGCAGAATATCAGCTCTGGGACATCCACGGCATCAGGGAAGCCCTGCTGGATCTCCCTAGGGTGGACGACCTGGAGCCAGACCTGATCCATCTGGTCGCCATGGACTGGGAGCTGGAGCAGAGCTACCAACATCTGTTCAGCTTAGAGCAACAACCAGGTGCCCTGCCAGGAACAAAAATAACCGGTCCTACTCCCCAGCGGCAGTGTACAACCCAGATCTCCCCAGCGGACCCAGATCTCCAACAACAGCCGGAGCTACCGGGAGTAGGGACAGTCGGTCCTACTCCCCAGCGGCAGTGTACCATGCAGGGAGAGGAGACAACCGGTCTCTCTCCCCAGTGTAAGCTGGAGATAATGGAAGAGGAGACAGCTGGTGGGGGCGTACCCCTTGCATGGGGATTGTCATATAAGGCCAAGTGTGGCACCATTAAAATCAGATACTGCTTACTCTCAACACAGAGCCTTGTCTCATGATTGAGGGAACCGCTATACCTGCTATAATCCCCGCTCTTGTGATTGCTCTTTGGAGTGTTATAAACACTAGCTCTTTTAAGAGCTGTTCCTGCTACGCTCTCTGGAGTCAGAGAGGTCTGCCCACTGGAAGCTGGATCCTGGTCTTGGGTCCAGGGTGGGTGGAGGACGACGAGTTCCCAGCCAAGCTGTAACGCTGGACTTGGGGACTACAGTGCTGATGGTGCAGGGTGGAGTGCTTGGAGTCCTCGGTGAGCACTAGGAGCATCGGTTGGTGGAGGCACCCAGTCGGGGTGCCAGGCGGTCCGTCACAGTCTGGTGTTAAAACAGGCTGTCTGGGGGGGTGGAGCCTAACCTTGAGCCGGAGCGGACGCCACCTCGCAACGCTCCGATTGCGAAACTGAATAACAGCCTGTTTTCAGGTGATTCAACCCCTCTACCGCCTGCATAAGCACCGGCATACCCGGAGGTGCACGCCAAGAAGCATTCTATGCATTCCAACACACTGCCAAAGCGAAATGACAAAAGCAGAGGTCTGGGGCCTACAGATGACCCACAGGCCTAGAACTGTTTGCACTACTTAACGGCCTAGAGCCCTTTGAGGACTCAGAAACTGAGGTTTTCTCGTTCGCTCCTCTACCTGATCGGACACCGATTATGGGGCAACGAACACAGAAGCTGAACTAGGAGCCACTCTCCGGGACCAGAGACATCGGGTCCATGCTTCAGCGGCAGCCACAAACCAAAATGGCGGCGACGGTGGGACTCCTGACCATGCTGACTGGTGCAGGTGTGACGCAGCCTGACCCGGCCTCTGAACAGGTACCTCACCCTGCAGGAGACACTAAGGGATCAGCCCCGGTCACACAACGGGACTTTCGCAATCTGGTCACAGAGATTAAGGGTCTATTAGCAGCCGATGTGGCAGTAATAAAAGCTGATTTACAATCTGTAACGGACAGAGTAACAGCATCAGAAGACAACATCACAGATCTCAAGATGGGCCTGTTGTCCCTAACGGACACTTTTTTAACCCTACAAGCTAATCAACAAGCCCTTTCAATTCATTACACAGCTTTGATGACAGGTCAACCACCTGAAAATAAGAGGTATACCTGACCCAATCACGCCTGATGAGCTCCCTCACTATCTGCGGAGGCTGGTGGCCTCAATGCTTCCACCAAGCCAGACAAAGAAGTTCTCCCTGGATGGACTCTATCGACTACTGATCACAGGCAGAGCTCAGGCGACAGTGACAAGAGACGTCATAGTCTGCTGTACCACCTCGCAGGACAAATGATCCTTGCTGACAGCACTACGGGGCAAGACGCCATCAACATTTGAAGGCTCTACAATTTCCTTCTACCAAGATCTTACAAGGTCCACTCTGCAGTGGAGAAGATCACTGGATCCTGTTACCAGCCAGCTTAGATCAGCAGGAGTGAAATATCATTGGAGATCACCCAGGTTCCTGGTGATGTCACACGAAGGGACTGTACACAAAATATCTACGCCTGCCAAAGCACCAAATATTTTACGGAATCTGGGCTTGACTGGCCCGAAGAATGACCCTACACAACGAACCAGCTCATAGGCATAAGACCCAAAGAGAGCTGTCCCCTCCACTTCTGTGGTACTCCCGACCTCCTCACCAGGGACTTAAATACACAGAGGATGCTGTCTGTTGCTAAGCTGCAGTTCGAACCTTTTATGTTTAGTTTAACTATTTTACCTATTCAGTTTTATTATTACAAGTTTGACTACTGTTTGGCCAGATACAGTACATGTGTTCAGCCTACTTCAGCTACTAAACTGGGGCCAGATGACTCACCCATACACTGTGGGGAGCGCTCCATCACCAATAATGCGTGCTTCTGTGTATGTGTGCAAGGGCTGCATTGTGTGTGTGTGTGTTTGTGAGGTATGCATTGTGTGTGTGTAAGGGATGCATTGTGTGTGTGTAATGGATGCATTGTGTGTTTCTGTGTGTGTAAGGGAAGTATGGTGTGTTTCTATGTTCGTGTAGAATGCATTGTATGTTTCAGTGTGTGTGTGAGTAGAGATGCATTCTGTGTGTTTCTGTATATGTGAAAGGATGCATTGTGTATGTGTGTATGGGAGAGCATTATGTCCCCTCTGCTTTATTTTATTCTTTTTTTTTTCTATAATATAATATGTTAGCCCCACAGTGATCTGTCCACTCTCCTTAAATTAAATTGGAGGCATAGGGGGTAAAGGTGTATGAACTAGCAACTGGGCAGCCAAGTCGCTAGTTTCTTATTACATAGAGTTTAGCAGACATGCTCCCATTTGGGGCACTGAGGGGTATAAACGTTCATCATGATGCAGGTGGGGATATGTCTGCTAAATAATGAGTGATTAGTGGTTGCTCGCTATATTTGTCAAATGACAAGATGGCAACTGAATAAAATTTGAGCCATTTGGTCATTTGGAAATTCACGATGCATTTGCATTCGGATTGTGACCAAATTACTGAAAAACAAAATTTTTGGTACTTTTTAAAATTCTTCTGAATATGCATTTACATGTCCAGTTGTAATACACATGCACACATAGTCACACACACACACATTCTATAATGTGTAACAACTGCAACCAACATTCATCATCTTCTTCAAAGGGTTACTCCAAGCATCATAACCACTACAGCCTGCTGGCTCCAACTGGGCACCAAGTCTTAAATGATGGTAGGTAATGCTTCTGCAGAGCTGGATGCCAATGCCATAGCTCATTTCTTGACAAAGAATGTCAGGTGTACACTCTGAGTCAATGAATGAACTTCTGTGGTAGGAATGTGCTTAGAACTGACATTAGCCAGCCTGAAACTCTTGTTTGAGGGTAGCTGATCACCGTCCCAGAGGTGGAGTTACACCTCTAGCAGCAATATAAAATATATCTGTGCAGTGTTTCAAATGTGGCTTCAACACACTGAAGTGTTGAGTTTATTGTAAAAGCCATAGGTTTCTTGAAACAGTTTTTCCTTTCTTGTTATAAATAAAATTATAAATGTGAAACTTATATAAAATGTAGAGATTGCTTTAAATTGCACTCTCAATTTGCATAAAATTGCAATCAGAGAACCTCAAGTTTTGTTTTGATCCTTTTAACTTATTTGTCAAAGATCTGGAAAGGAACACAGTATGCAATGTCTTAATAACATAACATTAATTAAGATAATTAAATTGCAGCAGAATGTTTTTCTGTGAAAAGGGACACTGTGAATGTGAGGAAGTAAAATAATCATGCTAATTATATGTTAAATCATTGTTTATTGTGAAATCTTTGAAGAAGCATCTTAGAGAACATCTTATCAACAGGCTTTTCCGTTGTCTACCACCCTTCGAATTGCCAAATTTTATTAAGTATCGTATAGAGAATATATGCTCAAGATCAGTCGAATATAAATGTCCATGACGAATCCATTAAGACCTCACTTTGAGCTTGCTGTAAAATCATGACCTCCAGTTCATCTTGTAGATCAGAGCTTGTGCAAGACTTTTTGCTGCCCTACGCAAGACCCATTTTCCCACCCACTTGAGTATCCCACATCTTTCTTGAGTCTTGCATATCATCTTATTTATCTGCCTAGATTCTGCTCTGCTAGTCTTTTTTTTCCTTCTGCCTCCAAGTCTCTTTTTTTTCGATGTCATTTTATGTCTCATGTTGCACGTGTCGCTGTTCCCTAGTCTAGTCTTTTCCCTGCTATTTTTTTCTGCCAGTCTCTTTTTCCTCTTTGTTATTTTTATCTTAAAGGACCACTATAGTGCCAGGAAAACATACTCGTTTTCCTGGCACTATCGTGCCCTGAGGGTGCCCCCACCCTCAGGGTCCCATTCCCGCCGGGCTGGATGGCAAGGAAAGGGATTAAACTTACCTTTTTTCCAGCACTGGGCGGGGAGCTCTCCTCCTCCTCTCCTCCTCCGATCCTCCTCTTCGGCTGAATGCGCATGCGCGGCAGGAGCTGTGCGCGCATTCAGCCAGTCTCATAGGAAAACATTTACAATGCTTTCCTATGGACGCTTGCGTCTTCTCACTGTGATTTTCACAGTGAGAAGCACGCAAACGCCTCTAGTGGCTGTCAATGAGACATGGTTGTGATGTGTTTGCACATTAGCTGTGTATTGTGTATGAGGGTCTGACTGAGTGTTTTGTGTAGG